CCCCAAAACCCCAAAACCCCAAAACCCCAAAACCCCAAAACCCCAAAACCCCTCTTTTGGTAATAATATAGAATAATAAATGGACAAGCCAGGTCAAAGTGAGGGAGATAAATCATTTAGCCTCAAAATCCCACTCAATAGTGGTAAGAATTTGCCTCAAGAGATTATCTAACTTCTACATATATAGAGACTCCTGAGTTTGAAGACAGAGCAACCGAGGATAATGACAAAACAAAAGAGACTGATCTTATCATCCCAGCCGGATCAAGTACTACTAGGTGCAAGAGAGCTGATTTCTTCAAGAAGGATAACAATTTTTCAAAAACCCAGGTATTGCGTCAGCCAAGAATGATCCATAAATACTCTTTGGATTCAGTTGATAAGTTTGCTTTCAAGATCAAGAAGAGAAATAACTTCAAGACATATCCACGTAGTTGCCTGAAAGAAAAATAGCAATTCTGTCAGATTTGATAGATCCGGAAATCAGATATCGGTAGGGATGAAATCCATCAAGGACTCAGATGAGTCCAAAATCAATGAAGAGGATGATGAGTCCGAAAAATACCAAGAAGGTGACTCCAATCTCTGAAGCAGCAAGAACTTTCACATTAGTTTCAAAGATCAAGTGCAAAAGAGACCATTAATGAAAGTCTTTGAAGTTGAAAGCTACAAAAAGTACAACAATGAACAAGAATGATGACCAGATCTCCCTTGAACCATATTTTAATCCCATATAAATAACTTTGATTCCTACTTTTCTCTGAAGCTACTTGACCAAAAATTTACGAATTTATTCACTTCTTTTAAAAATCCGATCTTTTTCAAATCAGAAAGAACATTATAGGAATAAATGTAGTTAGAATCTCAATTCGGCAGTGATGGCACGAGAGTATGTCCAGCCACACGGCTGGGGAGTGCAAAATCCATGGGCTTCTAGAATCGCACAAAACGCCACTCTTTTCCAACTTAGCCAACCAAAGATGAAAATATTCATGGAAATTTAAAATGTTAATGAATCTAAGTTTTGGTTACAAATTTGACCAAACGATTCTATATGATATTAGTTTCAAGCAGGTAAATATAGTGGGCTCAGGATGCTGCCTACTTCAGGATTCCTAAAATCTAGGTGAAACTACCCTCAAAAAATTCGAGAATAATAGTAGCTTTCCAAACTCCAAAATTTCTCTTATGGGAACAAAATCAATAATATTTTAAGAGCCAGGGGTTTTGGGGTTTTGGGGTTTTGGGGTTTTGGGG